TGCAGCAACGTGCCCAGGACAGGTCGGAGGGGGCTGAAACCCTGCGACGAAAGGTCGAGGCGGCCGCGCGGCGCTCAGAAGTGGCTATCCCCGCTGGGGTCGACAGATGCGCCGCGCTCGAGAAGGAAGCAGGGGGCCTGGGCGGACGCGAGGATGGCGAGGATCAACGGATGGAAGGAGCGCACGCGGGCGAGCTCGCGCGCTGCGCGCGCGTGGCTCGGAGGAAGTGCCCGGGCGCCCACGGCGCGCTTCCGCGGCAGGGAGGGCCCGACAAGGGCTGCCACGAGGACAACGCAGCAGGCGCTGCTGCGCCCGAGGAGACGGCGGAGGAAGGTCTGGGGGAGGCCAACGCCGAACGAAAAGAAGCGATGGGAGGCCCCAGCAGGCTCTTGATGGGGATGAGACGAGCGGGCGCGGGCGCGGGCGCCGCGGAGCGAGTTCGAAGTGCGCGCGGGCGCAAGCGGCATGGCGGGGGGCTCCGCAGGCCCCGACTGGTGGGCAAGCGCGGAGCTGGCTGGGTTGGTGTTGATCGCGCAGGCTCTGACGGAGTTTCACGACTGCGAGAGACGCGGGGGGCGACGCGGGGGGCGGTTGCCCACCAGCTGTTCGGAGGCCAAACGCTCGCACTTGTCGAATGCTGCGGGGGGGGGGGGGGGGGGGGGCAGCGACGGCGCCCTGGAAGCCGAGGCCACGAGACCAGTCGCGATCTGCATCTGCTTCTACAGGTGCTGCGCGCTTGCGGCGCATGTCGCGCTAGCAGTCGGCAGAGGAATGGTTGCCAATCAGTTGCCGCGGGGGCAAGAGAGGGGCGTCGGTCTGGGGCGCGGTGGCGGCGATCACGGAACAGATGGAAGCAGAGACGCGCGGAACCAGCTGGGGGCATTCGCTGCGCTCCGACTACGTCGACGCCTGGGTCGCAGAGGAGGCGTTGAAGCTGTGCGGGATGCCGGCCGCGCTGCGTGTCATACTGGCCACGCAGTGGGCAACGCGGCAGAGGTGGCCGCAGTTGGGCGGGGCCGCGCTACAAGAACTGGAGGAATTGGGCGCGCCCTTGCCTGAGGGAGACCCATGGCCCCCGCTGTCGCCCGCGGCGGCGCTGGCCAGGCCGCGTGTCGAGGCGGGGACCGCGGCGCCAAAGGCGCAGTTCACCCTCTTCTTGGTCGACAGGACGCCGGTGGCGCCGGCGATCATGGAACTGTCCAGGGCCGCGGAGGCGCGGAGGGGACGGGCTCCTGTTCTGGGTCTCAAGAAGAACGAAGGCAAGCGACAGCGGGCGGCGGCGACACCGAGCGAACGCCTGCAGCTGCTACAGCAGGTGGCCCCCGCGGACAGGATCTACGACAATTTCGAGGCATTGGGCGCGGCGCTCACAGGAGGCCAGAACGGATCCAAGGTAGACAAGGAGAGGAGAGAGTAGAAAACGCGCTCCAGCAGGCGCGCCGCGCGGAGCTGCCCTCCGCGGCCACGGGTTCTGCGAGCGGTGCTGGCGTCGGACGGCGGGGCACGGGTGGGTCAACGAATCGCCGTGCAAGCGAGGCGCGGGGAAAATCCAGACCGCAGTTGACCGCGCTGTCGGCCTCCCGCAGCGCGCGGCGCTGGCGCTCAGGAAGCTGGCGCAAGGGCGCAGAATCGACGTCGGCAATGGCGGCGTCGAGAGTCGCGGCCGCGACGCAGCCGGGCACGACGCAGACGCGACGGAGGAGGGGCCCAGGCCGAAGCTGCAAGTTTACCGCCATGCTCAAGCCCACGGCGGGCGCTGACAGGGGAAGTGGCCCTGGCGCCACGCGGGCCTCGACCAACGCAGCGGCCTGGACAAGAGCAGCAGGGGGTGGCGCAGGCCGAGATAGCTTGCGCACGTGCTCCGAGAGGTGTGGCGGAACACATGATTCACGCAATGGCAGCGCGCCAACAGGATCGACTCGGGACTCTGCAAGTGGGCGAGCTACGACCCCCGGAGGATCAAGGCCGTGCAGATTGCGGTGGCGAGCAGCAGGAAGGCGGCCGCTTTTCTAACCCCATACCCGCGATAATAATGTACCCCCCCTCCTGTACATATAAGAGTGGGCTATCCACGGCCAAGAAGAGTTTGGTCTGGGGCGCGGGGCGCGGAGGCCGAACTTCATTATCACGGGGAAAAGTTCGCCATCGAGGTTACTTCATTCTTATGTTGAGATAACAACACCAAACGAAGCGAACACGTTTTTTTCAGGATGTCTCAAGCGAAACCAAGAATTTCGGGAGGCATCTTCAAACGGAACGATCAATGTTTCTTTATCCTCCTCCCCGTGGCCCCTGCACATGTTTATCGCTGTGCTTTATTATCCAAGGAAACCTAGGCAGATGAGCTACCCGACACGAGCAGATGGACATTTTAATTTTCATTACCGTTTACGGATTAATCTTATAAGTTTTGAATTCGGGATTTTTGCTATCTCTTTCTCCTCTCCTCCTCTTGCTGTTTCTCCTCCTCCTCTTCCTTCTCTACCTCCTCTTCTCTTTCTATGTCTATATATATATATGTATTCTCCTCCCCCTGCCCCCTGAACTTGTTTATCGCTGGAGTTTAGTACCCATGGAATTCGTTAGTGGGGCCGACGCAAGCGCCAATTCATGTCTATAACAAATCATATTGAACTCATAGAAATCTGTAAGGAATCCATAGGAATCTAAAGCAACCCAGAGGAATCGATCGACATTCATACGTATTCATATAAAATCTATAGGGATGTACAACAATTCCATAGGGATGTAGAGAAATCTATAGGGAACCCACACATCGATCGAAACTTGTTGAGGATGTTTCAGAGAGGACCAAAATCCAAGGATGTCTCAAGGTATCCTCGGCTTTGGCTCCTCTATTAACATCTGTATGCTGGCCTCTGGTGGGCAACTTTTACTATCACCCCGTAACCGCCGAACTTTATTACCCCTGGGAGCTTATTCTCGGGAGCGTGGGCTTAGTTGGCGCCTTTTGTGCCCCCCGCGGCAGCGGACAGCAGCAAGGCGCAGCGGGCCGCACAGGGGCCCGATGGGGCGCAGTCGCAGCAGCCGCAGCCGCAGCCGCAGCAGCAGCCGCCGCCAAGGGAGGAGGGCCTCATAGACACACAGGAGTTGGCGCCTTGCCAGCGGTGCGGCGCGATAGTGCCAGACACCGACCACTTGCAGTGGACTTGCGCGGGTCTCCAGTGCCGGCCGCGGCACAGACCGCGACATCCACTTCAGAGGCGGCTCGCGTGGCCCGCGCGCGGTTGACGTCGCGCAGACGTGGACAAGCGCATCCCCGAGTGGGCGATCCACGTTTGGGACGCGGCGCTGACGAATGTAAGCGCAGCGCCTGGCGCCGACGAGGGCGAAGAAGGAGGAGGAGGAGGAGGAGGCGACGACGAGGTTCAAGGCCGACAGGAAGGGCGCCGAGACGCGGGCGACCGCGGCGCAGGCGCAGCGCGGCCGCGGCCGCGAGGAGGAGGGACGTAGGAGAGAGAGACAGGGGAGGAGGGAAGGGCGCCCCCTGCAAAAGCCAGGAGGGAGGCCAAGAAGGAGGAGGACAGAGGCCCCGCCGCAAGACGGGAGGAGGGCTGAGACGGCAGAAGAGGAGAGAAGGGCGCCCGCTGCCCAAGGCAAGGGGGGCGGCAAGGAGGAAGGAGGGAGGGAGCCCGCTGCACAAGGCAGGCGGGCGGCAAGGAAGACAAGGCACTTGCTGCCGAAAGCAGGAGGGTTGCCACGAGAGGAAAGGAAAGCACCCTCTGCAAAATACCGAAGGTAAGACACCTACTACCACCACGGCTAGGTCACCTCGACGGCCAGTTTTGGTGTTCAACCGTTTCCCCCAGCGGCCTCTCGGTAAAGTCAAGGCACTGACATGGGAGCGGTACGTGGGCGAGAATATCTACGATCAGGCCACTGTGCAAGAAGTGTTTCGCACTATCGCTGCGACACCACCGTTGACAACCGCAACTTCTAGGGTCAGTGGACGAGTCGCAAGTTGATCTGAACCGCACGCTGATCAGATTTTCCGTAAGCACCTGGGAGCAGGCTTCAGACGCGGGTGCAGTCCCAACGCGTCGCGACGACCCTCTGCTGCAGAATACATTCGGCGGCGCCGCTGGCAGGGGCCGCATGCGGGCGCACCGCGCCGGGCTGGCCACTAAATCTCGGACGGAACTAGGACGAGTTACGCTCTCAGAGCGATCCGGGACGCTCTGAGACGGCCGCGGCATCCGAGACATCTTCAGGAGCGGCCGGATCTGAAAGATGTTCGATGTATTTGATCATCTGATTTGTCCTCGTCTCGGTTTCGTCTTATGGTCTGGCAATTTGCATGAATCGGCGCTTGGGGAGCCCGCGCAGGACGCCCTCGCCCATGGGGTCTGGCCCGCCCGTCGGGGGCCGCTTGCCAGATGTTGTGTTCCTCTTTCGTCCCCCTCTCATGCCTACAGTCAACCCGCATAAGAAGGACGAACGACTTCCCCAGGTTACCCTTGCATCCTCCCCCTTCGGCCCATCTTTGGCCGCTTTCGCTGGCCGCGCCCCGCTTGCAAAGTGTCGCAATGGCCTTCCAAGGCCCTTGCATCGTTATCGTGCATCCTTATGAGACGGGTTGGCTTTACCTCCGTTCTCTTTTCCTCCTCCCTTCCTCACTCTCTCCCGTGTCTGTTTCCTTCTTCTAACTCCTACTTCAGGTGCCGCGTTAGCTGCACGTGACAGGCAAGGAATACATACGTGTATACATACACATATATATATATATATATATATATTGACACATATATATATATATATGGGGCAAAGGGGGTACGATCGAAGGCGTGTAGAGCAGATATCGAGGGCTTGGGATATACATGAGCAACGAAGAGCGAACAGTTGTGAATTATTCGTGCCACTGTTTTTGATATTTTGCTTTTGCTTCCCTATGTCTGTCATCTTTCTAGATTGTCTCTCGATTCTGATTCTCCGCAGCTCCTTCGTGTCGTCTCATCTCGTATCTGTGTGGTGCGTGGCAGGACGGCGACATCGCCGAGACCCATTCTGAGGTGATTGTCGAGGCGTCCAGCTGTGAGGGCTCAGGAGATTGCAAATGACGGCAGGAGTTTCCCAAACACTGCTTACACTTAGGGGTTGTTACTTCGCTTCAAAGGTGACTGACCTCCAGTGCCGCCCGTCCCCGCCGCCCGTCGTCACCATGTGCGCAGCGTTGCTCTGCATTGCTTTGCACTGCATTGCTTAATTTGCATTGATTTGCATCGCGTTGCACTGTCTTGCACTGGTTTCCATTGCTTGTTGTGGATTGTGTTTCATTGCTCTGCAGTGCGTTGCATTACATTGCGGGGAATTGATCTGCAGCGCTTTGCATCGCGTTGCATCTCTCTGCATCGCGTTGCAGTGCTCTGCAGCTGGTTGCACTGGTTTGCATTCCGTATCATTTGTTTGCAGTGATTAGCATTGTTGTTTGTTGCGTTGCATTTGTTTGCATTGATGTGTGATTTGCATTGTGTTGTGATGATTTGCATCGCTCTGCAGTGTGTTGGGCTGCGTTGCATTGGTTTGCATCGCGTTGCGTCGCTTGGCGTTGCATTGGGTTGCGTAGCATTTCAGTGCTTTGTGTTGCTCTGTATTCCGTAGCGCCACATAGACGGCACCACATGGAATGTACCGCCTAAATTGCACCACATATATTGCAACACATTTTTGTTTGGAGTCTACGCTGGCAAACTCATGTGTAGCGCATGTCCAGGTGGGCACATTGGGCCGATGGTGGGATTCAGAATACGGTATACGCTTTGGGATGGTCGCTACACGTGTAGGCGGGAAGAGGAAGAGGCTTTGTGCAGCGATTGATCAGAGTCTGTGTCGAATCTACATCGGCTCCCTGCCACCGTTCCTGCAAGCACTTGGCACACGCCAAGCAGTGCCTCCATCACAATCTTTCTGAGACGATCTGAATACCCAGCTTCTTGCGACAAGTTGCGTCTCCGTGCCGGCATAGCACTCCTTGTGGCGACATTTCGAGCACCGCCCAGAACGCCGTACTATGTGAAAACCCTCGTCCCAAGTTATTCCTGATGGGGACCTCGTGAAGCCAACCTGGACCGTCTTGGGATTCTGTTTTGCTGGGCGCGAGAGAGAGTGAGAGAGAGGGAGAAAGAGAGAGAGAGAGAGAGAACGGGTGTTGGATAAGGTGGGTCTCAGAGATTCTCGACATATCCTCACCCGAATTTGTCCTCGTCCTGGCTTCGTCTTACATCTCCTCCGTCCTCCCTCCCCCCTCCTCCCTCCTCCCTCGTTCCCTCCTCAATCCTCCTTCCTCCCTCCTCCCTGCTCCTCCCTCGTGATCCTGCTCACTCCTCCTCCCCTCTTGCCGGCCTGGTCACGGGACCTCACCTCCCGCGGCCGCTCGGCAGGTGACGGGCTGCCAGGATGCTTGTCCAGCAGGTGGTTCGCCACTGCCTGCCCCAGAGGGCGCTGCCCACTACCCAGAGATCCGACGCTTCAAAACAATTGAGCATTTTTTCCCGTTTTCGGCCTCTGGGGGCCCTCGCCGGGCCTCGGGCAGGACGAAACACTAGCCCCAGGGAAGTGGTCAAGACCTCCAGGGACCACGCATCGAAAATATTGGAGCAGCAGGATGTCTGGGTCTCGTTCTCCCAAATGGGGTCTGAGGGTCGCGCCGCATCGCCGATGCATCGGCGATGTGGCTCGATGTGGAGCCCGATTCGCGCCACGACGACGGCACCGATGCATCAGCGATGCGGCGCGATCCTCCGACCCCTTCTACTCGGCTCCAATGTGGGAGGCCTCCGTGGAATTGTATATACCGTTTATGTATCATGTGGTCAAACATGCTTTCGTGTTGATGCGTGCGTGCATGTGTTATTCACGTGCTGTTGGCGTCTCGTCTTAACGTCGTCGGTTGCGTTGCCTCCCGCGCTTTCGCTTCCATTGCACTGATGCGGCCTTGAAGCCTTCACTCGGCGGTTGGTGCTGGTCGCACGCGCTCGCGTTCCACATTCGGCGGCGAACGAGAGGGGGGAGAGAGAAGTTGTCCGTGTTTTTGGGAATGGCTGGGAACAGTTCTCAGAAGGTTGGGGGACTTCCGAGCCTTCTGAGAAGGCCGTCTCCTTCTCATTTCCCCCGAGCTCGCCGCCGATATCTGTTTTGAAAGTTTCTGAGAATGTGTAAGTTTTGGAGAAAGTGCACGTGTGAGTCGTGTGTGTTCGATGCGGTGCGCCCTGCTCATTTAAGACATTTTATCCGGCGTGGACCCCACACCAGCAGGATGCACTGTGGAGTCGAACGATGTGTTGTGTAAGATTCGAGTTTTGAGCTGTCGAAGACGCCTGAAGCGAGTCACCGCCGCCCCCTGTCTGCGCCTGTGTGGCCAAGCTTTTGGGCAACGCTTGGCCACGAGATTGGACCATGCGTTCCCCCAGCCGTTGTGGAAGCCATTCGGGGAACACTTGGGGGAGGAAGATGAGGATGAGGAGAAGGAGGAAATAGGAGGATGCGGAGAAGGATGAGGAGACCTCTTGGGGACTGATTGGGTTATTCTTGAGGCCTCCTGGGGGCCTTCTGGGGGTCTCCGGGGGTCCTCTTGGGGGTCTCTTGGAAGCCCTCTTGCGCCTCTTCCGTAGCCATTTTGGCTCAAGATGTCTAACTTGCGGGGGTGACGCCCTTGTGGACAAAGGGACACCGCTGGTCCGCGGCGAGCAGAGCGGTTTACCGTTCGGCAATCGGGCGTGCGATGCCGGAATGGGGCTGGCCGTGGCGTGCTGGGAGCAGTGGCAACGGCAAGTGGTCCTGCAGCTGCGGGGCGACGGCGGAGGCAGTGCCGAGGCTGCGGGGCTGAGGCGCCGTGGCAGCAGATCACCTACAAGCAGGCGCTGCTGGGCCCGTCTAAGCGGGAGGCAACCATGCAGAAGAAGCTGGACGCCATGCGGGAAGAGCTCAGGGCAATCAGGAATGGCAAGCAGGAAAAGCCCGCAGACGAGGAACCGCAGGTGGACTTGGCGCAGCTCTTCAAGCGGGCACAGTCGTGCAAGCAGTAGTGGGGCGACGGCTCAGATGAGTATCAGGTCGCACTCGAGAAGTACCAGACGGCGCGTGCGGAGAAGGACAGCACGAAGCCGCCTGCGGTGCAGCTCACGCAGGCGCGCTACGCCACGGAGAAGCTTGAGAAGTAGACCGAGACCTTGGTTAACAACGTCCGAAGGCTCGAGAAGCGGATGGAGGACGCCAAAGCAAGGCTCGAGAAGAAGCAGGAGCAATTGGAGATCCCCAGTGCTAAGGAGCAGGAGCTGAAGGTGCAGGGCGGGGTCAGCGAATCCCCAGCCTTCCTCAGGGCCACGCAGAAGCAGTTCGAGGGTGCGGTCGAAGGCAACGGCATCAGTAAGCAGGATTCTGAGCAGGTCTTCGCGGTGCTGGGTAAGGTCCTGGCCCATGCAAGCAGGAACACATGGATATGGACGTGGGGAGTCCCAGTGATCCACCTCATGCTCGTGTTGCAGGGCGAGGCGCAGCAACGCCACCAGCAGCAACAGCACACGACGGGCCAAAGCTCACTGCTGAAGAACAAGAATGGCTCAGAGCAGGAAGAGTATCAGACGAGGCCACACCTGGACAGCGAAGGTCATGGTTGGCGGTGTGCGCCAGCCTGGCCCAGCAAACAGCAAAGAAGTATAAGCGTTCCTGACGAGCGAGTCGGGCAGCCCAAGCATGACACGGTCACGTCGTGGACGTATGCGGGCTCGGGCTGGGGCACGATAAAGGAGAAAATCATGGAGGAGTTGCAAGGGCTGCTGTGCTTCGCAGCGCAGGGGCACCACCTGACCACGGACAAGTTGGCGGTGGCCACGCAGAGCATGAGGGTGCAGGGTCACCACATGGGTGGCGGGGCAGCGGTGGCCACCACGGGACAGAATGGAGAAAGCAGGCGCATCGGCGGGCGTGTCTCTTGCAGTGCCAAAGCGAGTAGTGGGCATGGCCTACTTGTGCGGCAAGGACGTCTGGGACATATCGTCGAAAGGCAGCCCGGGTAGGGCCGCAGCGGCGGGGCCGTCGATCTGGAAGGGCGCGGTGTTCGCCGCTGTGTACTTGTGGACGGCCGAGGGCGTGGCGTATAGGAACGCGCAGCTCATTACGCGCGTGACTGGGAAGCTGCAGAGCCTGGGGGTATGGTGGGTCATCGGGGGTGACTTCCAGGTTGCGCCTGAGGTGATGGCGGAGGTCGAGAGTGTGAAGGTCGCCAAGGCAATGGTGGTGGCGCCCAACGCGAGCTGCGGCAGGCACGCCTACTGGAATAGCGAGATCGATTACTTCTTGGCGGCAGACTCGGTGCAGGCGCCGGTCCAGCACATAGAGGTGCAGGAATCTTGGCCAGCGGCGCCGCGCGAGCCAGTCGGGCTCACGATCGAGCTTAAGGCCCTGGAGCGCAAGGTCAGAGTGCTGGAGAAGCCCAAGGCGCTACGAGAGATGCAGATAGGACGCGTGCCCGCACCCGCGAGATACGACCTGGTACAGGAGTTCAAGACGCAGGGGCAGGCCAACAAAGCGCGGGCCAAGTATGCGCGGGTGCTGGAGCAGGAGGCGTTCCAAGTCAGGGGCGCGCAGTGGTCGAAGGGCGACCAGCGCGCGGGGCGGGCAGGGGGGCCGAAGTGGAGGACCAAGCCGTTCAATTTCGGAGGCGAGAACGATTCCGCGGCAGCGAGGGAGGCAACGCGGCGGCGATGGCCAACGATCCCTGCATGGACTGCAAGGCGCCAACCTGAGATGGAGGAAAGCGAAGGAGCAAGGCATGGTGCAGAAGAGGCACCGCGGAACGAGAAGCCAGGAGAAGTTGTTCCAGGCCAGGCCAAGGCGCATGAAGTACACCAGCGCTGAGGAGCAGGGTATATGGCAGGCGCGCTGCGACATGATAGCAGCTGGGTTGCTGCGCAGAGGGGGCCAGGAAGCAAAGTTCCAGAGCTGGGTGCTGGAGGCGGAGTGCCAGATGCAGGCGGTAGACCAGGGGCTGCTGCGGGACAGCAAGGCGAAGTGGGCTGATGAGCTGGAGGTAGCAGCAGGAGCAGCAGGAGGCTCAGGCAGGCTCAGCAAGCCAGCTACAGCGTGGAGGCCCAGGCGCGCAGATACCACGGAGAAGGCAGCAGACCCGCTGGTAGCGGCGGAGTACACCTTGAAGGGGTGGAAGGTCGTCTGGAGGGTCGGGGAGAAGATGCAGGAGGAGCCGAGGCCATGGGCAGTGGGGCCCAGGCAGGAGCTTGAAGCTTTCAAGGATGAAGATGTGGATAGGTTGGAGGAGGCGGCGCGTGCCTTCAGGAGACGCACGGGAGTTGGAGTGGATCGGTGGCGCCCATCTATGTTGCAGGGTGCATGCAACGAGGCTTACAGCAGGCTGCTGGGCATCCTCAGAGCGGTGGGGCGCGCGCTGATCTGGCCGACCCACATCGCCGCAGTCCTCTTTTCATATTTCCGAAGACCTTCACCGCGACAGGGTGATCGGTTTGTTGCCGACCACCATCCGCGCGCGGGCGAGCATGAGAGAGCCGCGTAGCGGGCAGAGGCGAACCAGAGGAGCTGGGGCTGAACGGTTCACGAGCTACGGGAAGGAAGCTGGGGACGCGGCGTGGGATGTATTACTCGGCCATGAGATGGACGATTCCGACACCGAGAGTGAGTTGGAGGCCACCATCACAGCGGCGCTGGACTTGGTCAAGGCCTTTGGAGGGGTGAGCTTGCACGCGCTGGGGAGGCGGGCAAGCAGCTGAACTTCAACGCGGGAGTGCTGGCGGTGGTGCGCTTGTATTTCGCGATGGCAAGGGGGCTGATAGTGGGTGGCTCAGTGTCCAGCGAGACCAGCACAGTGACCACGACCATCGCAGGCAGCAAGTTCTCTGCGTGCTCCCTGAAGATGGTCATCCGGTCGACGGCGGATGGCCTTGTGGTGGAGAGGCTGCGCGTTAAGTGGCGTATGTTTGCGGACGACCTAGGTGTGCGTCTACGACAGCAGCAGCAGTTTAGTGTACAGGAGTGACGCGTGCTTTGCGAGTTTCGGCAAGCTTGGCCTCGAGCTTCCGGCGGGGCGCCAAGGCGCAGGGGCTGTTCTGGCAAGCGCGAAGTGGCTGCGTAGAAAGGTGGCGAAAGACATGGCGCGTAAAGGGCTGCCGGTAGTTAGAGCCTCCCTGCGCCTGAGAGGCGGGCCTCATCACGCACGGGGCGGCGGCGAAGACGAGGAGTGGGAAGCGGCGCATGGGCCTCCTAGGCAGCAGCAGGAGGCCAGCGAACCTGAGGCGTGGTGACCGAAAGATGGCGGGAGGGACTACGCTAGCATTCAAGTGCGGATTGAAGAGGTCGGTGCTGTACGGGTGCAAGTGCTTGGGGATGCCAGATCATCAGCTGCGGCAGCCGCGACGGGAAGCAGGACGAGCCCAACCAGGAGGACGGGGCGCCAAGAGCCCGACGCTGCAGCTGGCCCTGGCAGGCGAGGGGCCCACACTAGAGGTCACGGAGGTGCCCATCATCCGCTGGGCGAGGGATGTCCGGCAAACGGCGCAGACCCACGAGGTGAACCAGCAGTGGGGCAGCGCGGAGACCGCGGCGATGAAGGAAGGCGTGGAGGCGACAGCAGCAAGAGGTCGGAATGAAGCCGATGTGGGCGAAGGTGCGTGGGCCAGCGGGGGCTGTCATCATGTTCCTGAGGCGCGCGCGCTGATCGTGGCCAGCCTGGCACGCTGTCATCGCCACGGCAGGCTATGCCCTGGACATGCGGGAGGTGTGTCCGACGGATGCGGCGGCGATGCTGCGAAAAGGACGCGCAGCGACAGCTGGGCCAAGGCGGGGGAGTTCGCGGGCTTGCGACCCGCGCCAACGGCGGCGCCTGCGTTGGCATTGTTGAAGGCGCGCGACATCCCAAAGCACGCCGGGAACGCAGCGAAGGAGGCTATTGTGAGCGGGAGATGGACAGTGAGCAATTTGAGTTGGTGCAGCATTGCGCCGACGGACATATGCACGGCCTGCGGCTTGGCGGGGGGCACCTCACACCGCGGGCGCTATAAGTGTACAGCGTTGCGGGGGATACGCTTGAAGGCCCAGCTTGAATTGCAGACGGTGGCGGGGCACCAGGAGAACAACCTACTCTGGGCGAGAGGGCTGGTGAGGCACCCAGAGGCGGACTGGACGTTCATTGGGGTGGACGAGGGCCAATGCATGTGCCTGGTGGTGGGGGAAGGCGAGGGCCACTTCACGGGGGACGTCGTGTGCGATGGCTCTATACTAGGATGCAGTGAATGGGCCCAGACAGGATGGGCGGCGATGTCGGTGAACGATGCGGGTAAGCCCATGTACCAGGTGTGGGGGCCATTGCCGTGCACGCTCCCAGTGCATCGGCAAGCCAACAGAGCAGATATTTGGGCCTTCTACAAAGTACTGGAGCATAACTTGGGTGACGGCAGCATGTACACGGATCACAAGGATATCATAGAGGGACTGCAACAAGGGCGAAAGATGGTGCGTGAGTTGGAAGACGCCGCACGCGGACACTTGGAAGCTAATCTGTTACAGGATCAACGACGCGGCCCTGGATGTCAGCGAGGTGCTTCGCGTCAGGGCGCACATGTCCAGGTCCAGGATCGAGTCGCTGGAAAGAGACGGGCACGAGATCGCACAGGACAATGCCGAGGTGGACCCGCGAGCCAAAGTTGGGGCAGAGCTGGGCGCCAGCTTCGGGAAGCATCAGGCTGTGGAGGACCTTGCCTGCCGAGTGCGATGGGCGTTGCAGAACATAGGGTGGTGGCATCAGCATGTGGCTGGGGAGTGGCCAGACGTGCCGAAGCGCGAAGAAGGGCGGCCAGTGCGCAAGGTGGTCAAGCCGCAGATAGCGCTCAGCAGGTACCACGTCGAGGTATTGAACGGTCGGGTGGCATGCCTGAGATGCGGTCGATGGGCGGCGGCAAAGAGGATGAATAAGAAGAAGCTGCGGGAGTCCGAGCGCCAGGTGCCGCTGTGGAGATCGGCGGGGAGCAGGGCGACAGGCGCGGCCAGGTCTTTGGGGGCAAACGCGGCCCTCGCGGCGGCATCCACCGCAGCGGAGGCAGCAGCAGCAGCCGCGGACGACCAGCGCAGGCGGAGCCCAGCGGCAGGGGGCGAGCTGCGCGAGCGTGAACACCGGGCGGGAGTGCATGGGCCCTACGCGGCGTGCGCGGCGCGCGGTGCGCGCGCAGCGAGTCGGAGGGCAGGGCTGGGAGTCGCGTGCCCGGGCCCGCCAGCTAAGCGGGGCACGAGCAGCAGAGACGACGCCACGGGGATGAAGAGGGGCAGGGTCCCGGCAGGCAAGCACCCGCAGACGGGGGCGCCCCTGGCTACCGACATGCAGCTGCCAAAGCGTCGCGGGTAGTCAGGAAATATCAGAACGGGGTTCTTCCGCCCAGCTTCGGCGCCAGGGGGATAGCGTCGCCGCGCGCTGGATTAGCCCGCTGGCGCTGCTGGGGGGCCTCTCACACCCAGTGCGTGGACATGTGCCTGGCGCGCAGCCCAGTGGGCATTCAGGCCAGCCTCCTGATGGGAAGGAGCTCGGCGCGCCAGCGGCGTCGACGGCGCCGAGTGCCATCGAGGCCGCGTGCGCGACGTGATGGGCAACGTGCTGGTGGGGGCCCGCGCGGCCCGATGGCGGCCGCCGCGCGCGGCGGGCGGGCCTCCCGGCGGGATCCGCTGGAGGTTTTGGGGGGTGAAAGAAGCCCTCTTGCGCCTCTTAGGGGCCTTTAGGGGCTTCATGGGGGCCTCTTTGGCCGCGTTTCGGGCGGGTCTCACACCTCTGGAAGCCATCTCGGGAGCCTCGCCGGGCCGTCTTGGAGCCCCCTTGCGACGCTTCAGGGTCGTATTGAAGGGCGTATTCGAGGCTTCTTGGGCAGTTTTGGAGCCCTTTGGGGGCCGTCATGGGAGTCTCTTGGGCCGTCCTGGGGCCATCCTGAAGGCCATTTTGGGCGGCTTGGGAAGAATATTTGGCCTCTTAGGCCGTCGCAAGGCCGCTATGAAACAAATTCCAAAATCTTCAAACCGCAAGGCGAATCAATGATTTTGGTCTTTTCGGGCTTTCTGGAGGACCTCTTGGAGGCCTCTCGTGGGCAGTCTTCGGGGCCTCTTGGGCGCTTCTTGGGCTGTCGTGGGCACTCTTGGACCATTTTGGCGGTCTTCGAGGCATCTTGGGACCGTCTCGGAGACCACCCTGGGGTTATCTTGGGCTCTCTTGGGGCCGTATTGCCCGTCTTGGAGGCACTGTTGGCCCACCCAGACCGTCTTAGAGGGCCATCAGAGCGGGATTTGCGGACCTTTCAGGGTGGCCAGTGCGCTGTGCCGAAGCCCAGGTGATATTCTACAACGACCCAACAAACACCTGACATTCAGCACGCCGGGCCTCCCTGTGGCAAGACCACAGGGGTCGGCGGATCTAAGACGCCTACGGTGAATCACCGCCGCCCCCTGCCTCTGTGGAAGCGCCTATGTGGCCGAACGTTGAGGCCAGACCTGCCAAGCCATCGGACCATGTGTTCCCCGAATCGGTTTGGAGAGTCTTCGGGGAACGCGTGGGCATCTTGAATGTCATCTTGGCCGTCTTGGAGGCCTCTTGGGCGATCTTTCGGCGATCTCTGAGGGCTCTTTGGCCGTCTCGGGCCGTCGGAAGGCCGAAAAGAAGGAAATGCCAAAATCCGTCAAAACAACGTAGGGAAAATCAATGTTTTTGGCCTCTTCTGCCCTTCCTGGAGGCCCTCTTGGGGGCCTCTGGGGCCCGTTTGGAACAGGTACGAGCCAATTTCGGCCATCTTGGTGGGTTGCTGGCACGTTTGACGCCGTCGGGAGCTGTCTTGGGGGGCCTTTCTGGGCCCACGGGGGGCCCTCTTGGGGCGCTTCGGGGCCGTCTTGGGGGCCATTTCGGGCGTCTTGGAGGCCATCTTGGGCGTGTTGGAGGCCATCTTGGGCCGTCTTGGGGCCCTCTTGGGGCCATCTGGGAGGCCACTTGGGCCGTCATGGGGCCCTCTCGGGGGCCTCTTGGGCGATCTTGGGGGCCTCTTGGGCCGTCTGGGGCCGTCGGAATGCCGAGAAGAACGACATTCCAACATCCTTCGATAACCTCAGGACAATCAATGATTTTGGCCTCTCCGGGCCCTTTTGGAGGACCTCTTGGAGGCCTCTTGGGTCGTCTGGGAGGCCTCTGGGGGGCCTCTTGGGCTGTCTTGAGCCGTCTTGGACTCTCTTGGGCCGTCGTGGAGGCCGTCTTGGACCATCTTGGGCGGACTTGGAGGCCATCTTGGACCATCTTGGAGGCCATCTTGGCCACCAAACCATCGGACCATGTGTTCCCCGAATCGGTTTGGAAAGCCTTCGGGGAACACGTGGGCATCTTGAATGTCATCTTGGCCGTCTTGGAGGCCTCTTGGGCGATCTTTCGGCGATCTCTGGGGGCTCTTGGGCCGTCTCGGGCCGTCGGAAGGCCGAAAAGAAGGAAATGCCAAAATCCGTCAAACAACCTACAGAAAATCAATGTTTTTGGCCTCTTCTGGCCTTCCTGATGGCCCTCTTGGGGGCCTCTTGGGCCCGTTTGGGCCAGGTTAGCCAACTTCGGCCATCTTGGTGGGTTGCTGGCACGTCTGACGCCGTCGGGAGCCGTCTGGGGGGCCTTTCTGGGCCCACGGGGGGCCCTTTTGGGGCGCTTCGGGGCCGTCTTGGAGGCCATCTCGGGCGTCTTGGAGGCCATCTTGGGCGTATTGGAGGCCTCTTGGGCCGTCTTGGGGCCCTCTTGGGGCCATCTTGGAGGCCACTTGGGCCGTCCTGGGGCTCTCTTGGGGGCCTCTTGGGCGATCTTGGGGGCCTCTTGGGCCGTCTGGAGCCGTCGGAATGCCGAGAAGAAGCAAATTCCAAAATCCTTCAAAAACCAATAATAAAATCAATGATTTTGGCCTCTTCGGGCTCTCCTGGAGGACCTCTTGGAGGCCTCTTGGGCCGTCTGGGAGGCCTCTGAGGGGCCTCTTGGCCCGTCTGGGGCCCTCTAGGACTCTCTTGGGCCGTCTTGGAGGCCGCCTTGGACCATCCTGGGCGGACTGGGAGGCCATCTTGGACTATCTTGGAGGCCATCTTGGGCCATCTCGGCCATCTTGGAGGCCATCTTGGAGCCGTCTGGGGCAGACCATTGGGGAAGCGAGGTCCGTGGAAAACATTCTGGGATCCCGGCGGGACGGGCCGAAACCCACTGGGAGAGTTCTTTTCTGGAAAAAGAACCAAAACCAAAACCGATAGGATCTGGCACGCCGGGCACCCCTTTGCTAAAGCGAAAGGGGGCGGCGGATCGAATGGCCCTCGGCCCATCCCGCCACCGAGCGTGGGTTGTGGGTCAGAGTTCTCAGGGATGCTTCCTCGGGTCTCTTCGGAGCGCTCCTGGGGCCTCTTGGGGGGCAGTGTTGGGGCCTCATGGGAGCCTCGTGTGGTCCTCTCTGGGCCTCTTGGGGGCCTCTTGGGGCCTCTTGGCAGAGCTTTTGGGCCTCCTGGGGCCCCTCGGGGCCGAGGGCTCGAAATGTCCGTTCGGGTCCCCATTTGGGCCCCTTCTTGGAGTCGTCTTTGAGGCTTCCTGGACTGTCTTGGGCGCCTCTTGGGCCGTCTTGGGACCCTCTTGGGCCGTTTTGGGGCCCTATCCTCAAGGGCATTATTGGGGCGATCACGGGCGCCTTGAGTCGTCTTGGAGCGTCGGGAAGCCGAAAAGGCGAGAACGCCAAAAACCGTCGAACACCTTAGGATAGTCCATGATTGTTGCCTTTGGGTCCTCCTTGAGAGGCCCCTTTGCGGGCCTTTTGAAGCGTCTTGCAGGCTTCTTGGACCGTCTGGGGGCCATCTCTTGGCAGTTTTGGAGCGATCTTGGCCCTCTTGGATCGTCGTGGGGGCCTCTCGGGGCTCTCCTGGCCCGTCCAAGGGCCTTCTTGAACCCCAAAAGGGGGAATAACCAATCCGTGTCCCCAATCCGTAGGCGTATGAGGACACCACGCAGCTCGCAGAGCTGCGGCGACCGTTGTGTGGCGGTCCCCACTTATGGTACGCAACACATGCAATTACGTAAATATGTAATGTAATCCCACATATATGTAGACTGTGTACCTGGAGAAAAGAAGACACCAGCCCAAAGAAGAACTGAAGTACAACAAAATCCAATTGTTGACACATGCGATCCAAATAATAACCATTGAATACGGTTATAAACCATTGTCGGAGGAAGTGGGTGCCTGTGGTTTCTTGTGTCGGTGGTCCAGCGCACGCTGCCGCATGCTTGCCATAGCCAACACCATTCTTGTCCAAGTAGTCGTGGTCCTCCTGGTGAGGTCCTCTGTCGGCCAGCCCAGCCGGCGGGTGAGGTCAGCTGTTGGTGCCGCGATACCGTGTCGGAGGTCGGCGTTGGCTGTGCACACCCAGTACATGTGGTCGAGCGTCGGGACGCGCTGCTCACCACAGTGGTCGCAGGTGGTCGAGACCTCCTCGCCTTGGTTGGACTGCAGCAGGGCGTCCGAGACCACGCAGCCGCAGAGAACGGCGGCGATGTGTGAGGCGAGGATTGGGTTAGCTTTCCGTGCTTCCTGTGCCGCGCGCACGGCAGCAGCTGGGAAGGCCACTCCGGCCGTCATGGGGCTCTCCCGCCGGCTCCGGCCCTGTAGGATTGCCCATTCGTGGGATCGGAGTATGAGTCGTAGTTCGTGGAGCTGTCGGTCTGTTCTGTCGGTAAGTCGAAGTTCTCCCGCCGGGCCTCTCCAGAAGCCGTCGTCGCTGCGCTCTGCTCCAAGCGATGCCAAGTGTGCTCGGTAGGCGTGGAGTGGCCCCCGCGTGTCGGTTTTGATCGTGATCTTGTCCCAAAGCGCAAGCGCTCCAGGCCCTTGTCGACGTAGTCTGCTGCTCAGAAGTTGTAGTGTTCGCCGGCACAGGTGGTACCGTAGGTCGGTGCTATGCCCCATTACTTCCAGACGAAGTAGTTC